TTTTTGGTAAGGCACACCTGGTGATACTCAGAGGCTATTCCCAGCTGTGTAGTCAGGAGCAGCATATAAAGAAAGTGCCTTATGCCCTATGCTCTCTCCAGTCCAGGGAAACATTTTTAGTGTGTGTCCTTTTTGCTTTCAAATTGTCCCTCCTTGGGGGGTAGGGGGGTAGGGGGCGAGTCAGTTCAATGGGCTGCAGCACATGGAGGTCAGGGTTCAATATCTGGCAACACATGGTCCGGGTAACTCCAGGAGTGACCCCCAAGCACTGAGTCAGGCCTAAGAAAGTTTCCAAGACTGACCTGAAACATTGTTTCCCTTTTTCACAACACTCCAACTGCCAGCTCAGTGGGTGGGGTGGAAGGTCTCCAAAGGTGTCCACTAAGTCCCTCCCAGCATGGTTTTTGGTTTTTTGGTAGGGCACACCTGGCAGTACTCAGGGGCTATTCCCAGCTGTGTGGTCAGAGGGACCTACAAGGAAAGTCCCCCTGGAATTTGGGTTCCCCTGGGACTAGGGTCTAAGTGGAATAAGGAAGGACCATGAAATAAGGAAGCAAGTATTATTTCAGTCTTAGGTCACAGGCAGGAACAGATGAGATGCCAGGGGGAAGAAGCGAAGAGCATCTTATGGACAAGGCAATGCCTTGGCTCAATCTTGACGGAGAAAACAGCGTCCTCCTGGGAAACCAGTGGGACACAAGAGCCCTGCAGACAGAAGTGAGGGCAAGTTGGCAAAAGGACAGGTCAAGTACTGGGAGATCTGAGGGTGCTGAGTAACATCTCATAGGCAGGGCTAGAGCGAGGGCTTCAGGGTGGGCACAGTAAAACCCACACAGCCTTTTGGGATGAGTGCCTGCTTCTTAGTACCACGGGCAGTGACCGTGGCTGGTGGGCCAAGTCAGAGATTCTGAGCCCTCAGAATACTCCAACTCAAGCCCTCTCCCCCATAACAAGGGAAGATTCCAGTTAGCAGAGCCGGTCCTGCCTCCAGAGCCTCTCGAAAGTAGGAGGTGAGGGAGGGGCTGGCTGGCGCTGTGAAGTGACCTAAGCCTGAATGAAAATTTTTTAAATACCTGTTCATGGGCTTACCCCCTGTGGCACCCCACAGCTCCCCCCAGCAGATTCAGCACCTGTGGGACTGGCAAGCACTGATGGAATTGAAGGTGGAGGGTGGTAGCTGGACCAAAACAGGGGGGTGACCAACTCTCCTTATCCCTGTCACAGAAGCAACAAGCAATGTGTGCAGGACAAAGCCAAGACACCAGCCTCCCAGGAGACCCCTCAGTCACAGCCTTTGTTTTCAACCGAAGATGTCATCTTCAGGAGCACTGTAGGCTGTTTTGTGAGTTACTCAGCCTTCCTAGGAGACCTATAAATAACATATGTATACATATCATATATATGTACATAATTATAGTTTATGTCACTTTTGCTGTCTCCTGTCTGTCTTTTGTTACAGGGCTGTCTCTGCCAAGAACTTAGAGGGTCAAAGGAAAATTATATCCCTCCTCCCAAGGTCTGGCTTCTCTTTCCATCAAAGGGCAAGCTGCAGAGGAGGCAGGGAGCACCACCGCCATTCTCAGATTCAAGGTCTGGGACCCTCCTACTAGGTATCAGGTGCTGTGTCGGGAGCTGGAGGGGTAAGGGTGGTGCATGGGACCAGCACCCAGGAAGCACCAACTCACCTCTGTGTCCTCACCACCTGCCCAGCCCAGCACACAACAGGTGCCCAGTTAGCGTCCTCTTCCCTCCCAGCTCTCTAAAGACTCAGGCCCGGAGAGGGAGGACAGGGGGAGGCACATGCCTGGCAAATGGGTGACCCATTTTTCATCCCCGCCCCCAGCAATGCATATGGTCCCCTGTCCTGACTGCACCAGACCTGTGTGCAGTCTGGGATGCCCAAACTCATCAGCCTACCGGGTGGTCCCTGTCACAGAGGCTGAGAAGTGGCTGCGGTCTGCAGTGAGCAGCTCAGGACCAGATTCCTCCAGCTGGCTCCAACCCCAATACTTTCGCTTGCTTATTATTATGTGCTGAAACGATGTGCCCTCCTGGGGTAGCCTTGTGGCCTCCCACAAAGCTGCTTTTAGCCTGTCAAGCACATTTCTCAAAGCTCTGGGCTTTTCTCTGAACTCCCTCACCCATCCCTTTGTGGACGAGGTGCGTCCCTCCCATGACCCTGCCTGGTTTCTGCCTGCTGCTCACAAAGGTGGTTTGTTGGGCTTGCCCACTTGAACACTGTGCTCCCAGAAGGCAGCAGCACAGGTAAACTGGCCAGGCTGATGCATGAGGGTGAGCGGAAGTTTGGATTTCAGTACTTGATCATCTTTGCTTTGGGGAAAATCCTCTCTCTTCCTTTAGACAAACTTCCTGGAGAAGTCTAAGGGAAGCCACTGACCTCCAAATCAACCACAAGCTGAACTGGAACTGTACATAAGATCCTCAGTCTCAGGGGCAAGAAGATGCATTCGCAGGAGCGATAGCATAGCAGGGAGGGCTTCTGCCTTGCATGTGGCTGACCCAGGTTCAATTCAGGTTCGATCCCTAGCATCCCATATACTCCCCTGAGCACGACCGGGAGTGATTCCTGCGTGCAGAACCAGGAGTAACCTCTGAGCATCGCCAGGTGTGACCCAAAAAGCCAAAAAAAAAAAAAAAGAAGAAAAAAAAGATGATGTCATTCCAACACACACACACACACACACACACACACACACACATACACACACCCCACACAATATTTAGGCAAGAAATAAAATAATCACCAGAAAATCCAGAGGGGGAGAAAAATCCCCTTCCCCTTGTTTATTCAGCTGGTTGAACAAACAAATTACCACTGGATAGATGAAAAGGCGGGGGGGGGGGGGGATAACAATTACACAAGCGTGGGGAATCTATGTGAAGATTCCAAAGATGGTCAGGCAAAACTCGAAATTTCTGCATCATCCTGGGATAGCAGGAAGGGGCAGCCATAGGCGCCTGCAGCAGGAAGGCACAGGGAGAGGAAGAGACCGTCTGTTGGGCGGACACATGTTTGCAGAAGGCAAGAAGACAGATTTCACCCCTTTCTTGATCAAGTTCTGACCGAAAGGAGGATCCGGGGAGCCATGGCCTCCAGAAGCCAGCCAAGGGCAGGGCCCTAACTCCCGGCAGCTGGCCAGTCTCCTCTCACACCTCAGCACCTCAGCTACTGGGATGCAGCCCCTTCCCTCCTCTGACCCAGACCTCCCCCTGCAGCTCTTGGAGGCACCCACAGTGAGGTGCAGAGGGAGAGGCTTCAGACGTGGGCCCATGAGGCTCAAGGGAGACCACAAGGGACCGTGAGCCTGACCCGTAAGGCCCCGGGAGGCTCTGTGAGGCCTACCTGAGCCTCATCTTGCTCCCCAATGACTGGAGGTCTCAACACCTGGAGTGACGGCAACACACACAGCAGGAGCAACACCTGCCGGGGAGCAGGTAGGTGCTGGAGAAGATCCAGAACTTTCTCCAGTGGACACGTGTGCCTCCTGGTGGGCTAACAGCTGAGTGGCTACCGATGTGGCTGCATCCCTGTAGCACATCGACGCTGGTGCCTTGACTTGTATTAAACCACAATCCAATACACCCCCCAGTGGTACCCATGGACACCAACATGTTAACTCATAACACAGAAGGCCTGACGTGCCGGCTCTGGGGTGGGGGCCAGGGGTGCCCCGCACGGCTGCTTTCCTTACTCTCACCAAGGCTCTGGGCCGTCCCTGTGACTCTTCCCTTTCCCTTCCTTTGGTCCCATCCACTGTTCCCCTTCAGCTCCCCAGTCTCAGGGCTCCTGGAACTCCCAAGCCCCAGGGGTCAGACGCGCCCGTCACAGGCTCCCGTGGCGGGTTCTGAGGAGGCACTTCTCGAGCCAGGGGTGTTTCTCGAGGCCCTTCCTCTACCAGAACAGATACTTGAAATGTTTCCTCAGCTTCCCTCCTCACTGTGTCTCCTCACCACAGTCCTCTGAGGCTGCCCCCCCCCCTCCGCTCCCCTGGTGGGATGGGAGATAGCAGGCGGGAGAGGCGAGGCGAGAAACCCAGGGGCATCTGCTGTGGAACTGGGATGTGACCCAACCTTCTCTCTCTCCATAGATGGCAGGCTCCCATGACCGAAATGATACTCGAGCACTGTCCTTTCCTTCCAAGGTGATGAAAATGAGGGAGGGGCCAATCAGTACAAACCGCAAGTTCCTGGAGCCGCAGTAAGGGCCAGACAAGGTGCCAAAGTGAGGAGGATGAGAGTGAGAGTGGTGCAGGGTGCACAGAGCCCCTCGGCCCAGTGGTCTCCTCAGGGTACGGCACCGCATACGCCAAGCCTTGGGGCAGGCTTTTTTTTTTTTTTTTGCTTTTTCTGGGTCACACCCGGCAATGCACAGGGGTTACTCCTGGCTCATGCACTCAGGAATTACTCCTGGTGGTGCTCGGGGGACCATATGGGATGCTGGGAATCAATCCCAGGTTGTCTGTGTGCAAGGCAAACACCCTGCCCGCTGTGCTATCACTCCAGCCCCTGGGGTAGGCTCTTCATCTTCCTGAATCCCGTCAGAGCTTGCAGGAAAACCCCGGCCACACTGCCGCGCTGATACAGATTCATCTTTCACTCCTCCTTCCTTGATTAGGCTCGGACAGAGAGTGCAGGGAGGCCCATGGGACCCACAGCCTTGAGAAGCCAGGCAAGGGCTGGAGCCCGTGGCCCATCCTCTGCACATCTGGGGACAGCCGCTCCAGGTCTGAAAACCACATCCCTCTTCAGAGCAAAGTAAAAACATTCTCCCCACACTAGATCAGCAGAAAGAGACACATTAAGGACTCGGGGTGTGGGGGCACCACGATGGGGGGAGGAGAGGCCTGGTGGGTCTGGGGAGGAGTGGTCTGACGGGAGTCGGGGGAAGAGGTCTGACAGGAGTGGGGAGGGTGGTTTGGTGTAAGCGAGAGGAAGAGAGGTCTGCGGGATTGGGGGCAGCCTTGCCCTCACCTGACTCTTGCCTGAGATCAGGCAGGGCCCTGGAAACCCCCAAACCACCACAGTGGCTCCTGCCTGGATCCAGAAGAGGGTCTCACAACCTCAGGGTCTTCCACCCGGCGCTGGGCTCTGGTGCTGCGGCTCAGTTTTGCTTTTTATACTGCAAGATACCAAGATCAGAGGAAGAGGGCAGGGGTCAACACGGAGGAAGGACAGGGAAATCAATGCCTGGAAACCAAGGGCCTCGAGGTCTTGGGTGCCTCCTGGAGGGAGCTCCTGGAATGGAGTAAACAAAGTCAAAGGAACTAGACAGTCAGAACTAGCTGGCCCCTGGGCCCCTCTCCCCATACCTTTATATCAGTAACTCAAAATTTGTTCGGGGGGGGGTGGTTAAAAAAGCCTCAGATGGACAAAGAGTTATCTAGTCCAGCAAGAAGTGGACTGGACCCCACCTCTAGAGATTCTAGTGTCTCCACACAGCAGGACAGCAAGCCATCTCCAAGTCTCTGGGCTGCTCTGATACCACAGCAAGAAGGTAAGCAGGAGCTGAAGCGATAGCACAGCAGGTAGGGCATTTGCCTTGTACGCAGCCAACCCGGGTTTGATTCCCAGCATCCCATATGGTCTCTGAGCACTACCAGGAGTAATTCCTGAATGCAGAGCCAGGAGTAACCCCTGTGAATCGCCAGGTGTGACCAAAAAAAAAAAAAAAATGAAGGTAAGCAGCAGCCAGTCGTCAAAGGCCTGGCTCCTGGCTCTCCCTTCCTCCACCTGAACAGACACCTGAATGAACAAACAGCCTGGAACCAGTGCTTCCTCTTACCCACTGCCCAACTCAGCTCATTCTCTGCAGAGTCAGGGTCAACAGACAAAACTGGTCTTTAGGGAATTATTTTCTTTCCATTTTTTTTTCTGCTTTTTTGGGTCACACCCAGCAATGCACAGGGGTTACTCCTGGCTCTGCACTCAGGAATTACTCCTGGTGATGCTCAGAGGACCACATGGGATGCTGGGAATTGAACCCGGGTTGGCCGCGTGCAAGGCAAACTCCCTACCCGCTGTACTATCGCTCCAGCCTTTTTTTTTTTTTTTGTAAAATATTTTTGCTGAAAATGGAGAGAGAGAGTTGGAGCGATAGTACAGCAGATAGGGCAACTGCCTTGCATAAGACCAACCCGGGTTCAATCCTCGGCATCCCACATCAACCTCACCAGGAGTGATCCCTGAGTACAGAGTCAGGATTAAGTCTTGAGCAGAGCAGGGCATGGACCAAAAACAAACAAACAAACAAACAAACAAAAAACAAACAAATAAAAGTCGAGAGAGAAAAGCTACTTGTTCAAGAGAATGCAGAAGGAGAAAGCTCCCAAGAATTACACTCCCCAAGCTGAGATGTGGACAAAAGACTCCTCAATGGAATACATCCCTTTGAGATTGAGGACAGGGACCCCTCCTTGCAGAAAACTAAGACAACCAGATGAGCAGCACCTTTCAGCCACCTAGACTGGGAGCTGGCCAGGGGCCTGGACTGTCATTGCTCCACCTCAACAGCAGGACAGCGTTGACCCCTAGTGGTCACAGAGCTTACAACCACCAATACCCCAACAGACAACAGCTGGCTACAGCCTAGGCACAAGCACTTCCTGCCTGGAAAGGTGGTTGGTTCTTGCTTTTGTTCAGCTTTTGTTTTGTGGCATAGGAAGCCAAACCCAGGGCCGAACATGACGGAGGCGAGTGCTCCACTGTTGAGCTACATCCCCGGTCACCCGCACTTACTTTGTTCAGAATCCAGTCAGCATCTTCAATGGCTCTTTTAATTATCTGTTGGATTCTCTCAGGGTTGTCTTCATCTGAATGAACTCGGAAACTCTGTAGAGTTGAGCATTAAAAAAATGACTCAGTGAAATTCATGGCGCCAACAGCTTCAGAGCACAGAGTGAGAGCCAGGCACACACCAACCCGGCACTTTATTTTAATTTTTTGTTTTGGGGTCATCCCAGAGATGCTCAGGGAGACATATGGGGTGCCAGAGGTAGAACGCAGGTTTGTTACATGCAAGACAAGTGCCCTACCCACTTTACTCTCAGACCCCTGGCCCAACACTGTAAACTCAGCATCACTCCTAACTCCTTCAGGACTGTGATGACAAGCCTATCTTGAAGGGAGAAAATAAGAAGCCCCAGAGCATGTACTAAGCAGCCTTGCCAACATATGAACCCTAGTGTACTCAACTGCCCAGCCCATACCTCTGCCAGCAAATTTCCTGAAAAAAAAAAAAACTGCCCCCAAATTTCCCCAAAGTCAAGCTGAGCCCTGGGGTGTATCAGGCAGTGACAAATGCCTTTATCCACTGCATCTCTCCCTGTCCAGGGTGCTGTTTTCACGAGGTAAGATGTTTGTACAGTTTCTTGAAACAGACTTCTCTTGGCCATGCTGCAAAGCCAGCAGTGAAAGGAGGGCTGGAGCAATAGCACAACAGGTAGGGAAACTGCCTTGCACGCAGCTGACCTGGGTTCAATTCCCAGCATCCTCAGGCCTCTGCCTGGAGTGATTCCTGAGTGCAGAGCCAGGAGTAATCCCAGAGCATCACTGGGTGTGGCCCCAAAACAAAAGCCAATAATGCAACCAGGCCCCAGACAGAGCACCTTGGGGCTACAGTCCTCTCCCACCAGATGCTTGCCCTGAGAAACAATGTGAGGTTAAGGTTTGGTGCCGCGGCACCTCTGCCCTGTCACTCTCGCCCCTCACAGACTCTGACTTGTCCTTAGGAGTGCTGAAAACTGTCACCCCAGGAAGCCCCCCCTGCCCCCCGCCCCATACACACAACCCAAGCAACTAACTGCCACCTTCTCCAGAGCCCTCTGGTACTATCCCTACTGTTTCACATTCTACATGATATTTGCATTCATTTTACTTTTAAATTTTGGACTTGGGAATCAATTTTAACCTCCAGAAAGATTTCAAAAAACAACATTAAAAAAAATCCCTTGAAGGCCAGAGAGAGAGTACAGGGGTGAAGGCATTTGCCTTGCACATGGTCACGCCTGGTTCGATCCCTGCAACCCATATGTTTCCCTGGCACCGCCGGGAGTGATCCCTGAGTGGAGAGCCAGGACAAGGCCCTGAGCATCCACGAGCACACGCGCACACACGCACAATTCCCTACCAGAATCACTAGCTGTTAGCCTTTTGCGAATGTGCTGTCTCATTCTTGCTTTCAGTGCCTGGAGACAATTTTTGGGAGCAGTTGAAAGGTGTGGGCATCATTCCCTTACTCCACAATCGCCTCAGTGTGTACTGCCCGACAAAAGGGGCATTTTACACGCAGTGACAGGTCACAGCCAAAAAATGAAACACTGATACAATACTTTCTTTTGTGTGTGTTTTGGGGTCCAACCTTGCAGTGCTAAGGGGCCACTTCCAGGGCACAGTGCTGTTCCCAGAATCATGCCAGGGATAAGAGTCTCACCCCCTCATTCCCCAACCCTCATGACCCCCCATGCCCTGCAAGCAAAGTATGGCTCTTTGAGCTCTCCCACGTCCGTGACATACCATTAACTTACAGCTCATATCCCAATTTCACGAACTTCCCCTGTAATGTCACTTAATAAACTCCAATTTTTTTTCTGGCCCAATTGAATTTTTTTTAAGTGAATCAGCACTAGATACACAGTTACAACATTGTTCAAGGTTGTGTTCAGTCATACAATGTTCCAACACCCTTTCCTTTCCCCAATCTACATTTCCCACCACCAATATCCCCAGTTTCCCTCCGGCCACCACCTTCCCCACTTTTTTCTTTATCTCATTCTCTTTCTCTTTCTTCCTTTTGGACACTGAGAACCTTCCAGGATCTGATCCAAGCTCACTTACTGCACCTCGCGGTTGGTCACATCTCTCCAGTGCCCTTCCCAACCAAGCAGCTCTGCTGCCTCTGTCTGCTGGTCACGACACTGACCCCGGGGGCTGAGGCCCGGCCAGCTGTATGTGGCGGTCAACCTCTCCATCTGGGCAATGTTTTCTCGAGATTAAATCCAGGCTGTGCACTGGTAGTTGGGAATGCCTGTCAAAATGAGGTCAGGTCCCAGGATCTATTTTAATTATCCAGTTGGCTGCCTTTCCAGCCCTGGCATAGAGCTAGGGCTCTGATGATGCACCCTGCTTCCTTGGCAGACACTGGGGTGTGGGTCTGGGCCGCCCAGCCCTGGTTCCTGGTGCCTCTTACCTAACTGCTACCCTCGCATCCCTGCCACCTGCTGGGGCCCCAGCCCTGTGACAGCCCCTATGAGAGAGCTCCTGTCCCAGTGCAGCCCCCAGGACTCACCTGTCTGATAGCATGTCTGTAATGCTCCTGGATGCCCTTGGTTGGCAGCTGCCTACAACAGCGCAGTAGGTATCGGTAGAGCTGTAGCGGCGTCTGGACCAGCTCGGCCCCTGGCAGCGGGGCCATCTGCAAGAGTTCTGGAAAAGAGAGAGTGTTAATTCCTTGGTGCCAGGCTCATGGGCTCTAGCACTCTGAGGGGCAGCATAAGAGAGAACAGAGAGGCCAGCTCTCCCTCGGGCCATATGAACACAGACAATGAGCTCAATGGGGGCCTTTGGGGGCAGTAGAAGTTGAAGGCCAGAGCAAGCATGCGAGGCCCAAATACGCAGACTCGTCCTAGCATCTTTCTCTAGAGACCACCTGAGGAGCGGGTCAAGAGGCGTCACAGGCAGGAAGAGAAGGGGTGTGAAGCAGGAAGACCCCGTGCTGCAATCAAGAAGAAACCAGCTAAAAGGAGAACCCCTGGAGGTCTGAGCTCACTACTCTCAAAGGGGTCCTGGGCCCACAGCAGCAATCTTACCCTGGAGCTGGTTGGAAATGCAGTATCTGACAGGACCTATAGGGTTCTGATCCCCTGTAATTCCCTGGAGGTGCAGAGCTGGGAGTAGTCCCCAGCACAGAGCCAGGTACAGGTACCAGACCCCCAAACCACAAAGGGGTTGATTTGGGGGGCAGTGGGGGAAAGAGGGAGCTAAAAGGGGATAACAGGCCAAGTAAATCTGGGAATCATTAAAACAAATGGCCCATAGACCCTTGCCGCCTGCCTGGCCCCGGACCCCAACACCTGACCCGATGCCCTGCCTCCAGCCATCTTCCCCTCTCTCTGCCACACTGACGCTTGGGGGACTCTGGAAAAACCATCCAAGGCAGCCTCATATCCCCCACACTGGCAAGCAGATCCCCTCAGGGGGCAGCACCCTTCCTCTCTGCAGTGTGGGAGTGACTCCTGTCCAACTAGCCAGGTCCAGCTCAATGTCACTGCCTCTGCCTGGGGCACAGAGCCCTGTTCAGGGGGCGGGGACAGCGCCTTCCACACTGCCAGGGATTCACTGGCTGCCAGGCCTGCAGAGCCTAATCTAGGCCCCAGCACCTCGTGCCCTGAGTGCTGAGCAAGAACACAGCTCGAAGTGTTCCAAACGAAGGTGCTCAAAGGCCTGGAGAGAGTACAGCCAGTAGGGTGCTGGCCTTGCACGTGGCTGACCCAGGTTCTATCCCTGCCATCCCATGTGGCTCCCCAGAACCACCAGGAGTAATTCCTGAGTACAGAGCCAGGAGGAGGGAGGAGGAGGGAGGAGGAGGGGGAGGAGGAGGAGGAGGAGGAGGAGGAGGAGGAGGAGGAGGAAGAGGAGGAGAAGCAGGAGGAGGCGGAAGAGGAGAAGGAGGAGGAGGAGGAGGGGGGGGGGGAGGAGGAGGAGGAGGAGGAGGAAGAGGAGGAGGAAGAGGAGGAGAAGTAGGAGGAGGAGGAAGAGGAGGAGAAGGAGGAGGAGGAGGAGGGATGATGATGACGAAGACGACTCTGGGGCTGGAGTGATAGTGGAGCAGCTAAGGTGCTTGCCTTGCACAGAGCTCACCCTAGTACAATCCCTGGCATCCCATGTGATCCCCCAGAGCCTGTCAGGAGTGATCTCTGAGCTCAGAGCCAGCCAGAGCCAGCCCTGAGCACTGCCTGCTGTGGCCCCCTCAAAAATAAACCAGGAGAAATGGGTGCCCTCAGTCCTAAAGTAACATGAAGAGGAGGGATCCGGAATACTAAATCTATGGGAGGCCCTGAAACTTCCTTACTTCCTAAGTAAGGAAACTTATTAAGACACTGAGTTTAGAAGCGCCTTCATTCCATTTCCAGTACTTGATCTTCCTGGCAATAATAAATATCTTGTCTCCAGCTAAATGGGCCAGCTACTGCAGGAACTTGGAACACTTTGAGGCTGCGGGGAGTAGGGTAGGGGGGTTGGGGGGTGAGGAGGACAGTGGAGGTGGGTAACCATCCTCACCCCATGTCCTCCTTTAGAGGAAACAGTCCCAAGTCCCAGTTCAGTAGTGGGGATTTTGCTGTTGGCCGGTCCTGCCTCAGTCTTCAAGATCTGAAAGGGCTCTGACCAATCAGAGCCCTTCCTCCTCCAACCAGAGCCCTTCTTCCTCCAATCAGCACCCTTTCCCCTTCAGGCAGGTGATGGACGCCAATCCAAGCCCAATCCAATCAGACTGAACCTCAGCACCTCTGGGAGAGTGACAGGAACAGACACGGATCTTTTGTTCTAGATTTGCTGCTAGGAAGACTTGATCTTCGTCAGAAAAGTCTTCATTGGAGCCTGAAGCTGAAGCCACACAGCCAAAAGCAGAGCTGAAACCAAGTCTGGAGAAACTCCTCGAAACTGGAAGGAAACTCACGTGCAGACAGCCCACCCCTGGCGCTATCAGGGATCCAAGCCCTTTACCCCTGCATTTGGGTATGGTCTTGTCACCGGCAACCAAGAGTCCTAACGGAGAGACCCCGCACCACTCAAACATCTCCTATGACACCCCAATGGCTACAGTTCTAAGGAAGCATGGAAATGGCTAAGCCCCGTCAGCACCCCCAGCCCCCAGCAGTACCCATTAATGTGCCAATCGGAGACGGGCCTCCATCCAGGGAACAGAGGGGCTCTCCCTCCAACAGAACAAAGACCTTCAAGGAGCACCGCAGAGGACACAGCACCCAAGCCCCCAACCTGACGGGCGGACTCCACTGGCAGGCTTACCCAAACTATATAAAGTGCTAATCAAATATTGTAAAATGCTAGTCCCGGAACAGATGGCTACCATCTGCCGCCTTCAAAATTAACATTTGGAAAGAGCACAACTTTGTTTCATTACTTAAAAACCCAAGCAATACTTAGAAACCAACCCAGAAAGTATGGGCGGGAGATTATTTTCAGCTCAATTATAATACTTAGTCATTCTCAGTAATAACTGGCAGAGACTGCATGTGTGGGTCCACTCAAAAGAGCTCAACTAAAAATGTTTTAATTTAATTTAAAGTGTGGGTTTGCTATTATTCAAGGGACAATGAACCTCAATGCATCACTGCTGACATGGCAGTCAGAGCTGGTGGCCCAGGGAATGCCTGACTCATGCAGCCTGCCCTTTGGACGTGGCTCAGCCTCCTCCGAGCTGGGCTCCCCACTTTCATCTTCTGCAGTAACCACAGCACAACTGTGGCAGAGCCCACCCAGACTCCTCCCTCCCCAAGCCCCATGCCAAGTGTTTCTCTGACCTATCAAATTCTGCCTCTGAACAGCCCCTCAAGTCCGTTCCCGCCTATGGCCACTGCACATGCTCACTGCAGACCCCCGTCACCACTTATGTGAATCACCACTGCAGGGTCCAACCTACTCTCCACTCAGCACCCAGAATAAATCTTTCCAAAATGGGTCTCAGTCTGGCACATCCCTGCTGAACTCCTCTGGCCCCTCTTCCTCCCATCACTCACAACTCTCCCCTGTGTGTGGCCAATGCCTGAAACCTTTTTTTTTTTTTTGTCATAACTGGCAATGCACAGAAGTTACTCCTGGTTCTGCACTCAGGAATTACTCCTGGCGGTGTTCAGGGGACCATATGGGATGCTGGGGATCAAGCCCAGGTCAGCCACATGCAGGGCAAGTGCCCTACCCTCTGTACTATCGCTCCAGCCCCCTGAAATCATTTTCAAAAGTATGGAAACAAATCTTTTTGTTGTAATGATGTAAAGCTTTATTGTCATGGGTGACAAAGGGGCAAGTCCTGTCATTTCATAGGTACTGTGGCTTTAAAAAAAATGAATGGCTGTAAATTTTTTTAAATTTATGTTTTAAATTACCAAGCAAATCAGTAAGCATTTAAAATGAGGCTACGACTAAAATCATGCAAGTGGCATTGATAATCTGGAAAGTAGAGACCTCCAGAATAAAAGCCACAATCCTTCCTGGGTTTCCAAGGACCTTCTTGTCCTAGGCCCTATTCATGCTTCATCATATCTTTCTCTACCCACCCCTGAGTCAGGCAAACTGAATTCTAGTGGCACTCACCATTCCCTGGTCCTGTCCACTTATCTCAGTCCCTGCACTGTGAGAGAATGCTAGGCATACAGTATGGGGGTTAGGGTTTTCTAGGGAGAGAAGCAACAGGGACATTCTCTCTCTGTCTCTCTGTCTCTGTCTCTGTCTGTCTCTGTCTCTCTCTCTCTCTCTCTCTCTCTCTCTCTCTCTCTCTCTCTCTCTCTCTCTCTCGGCTGGCTCCTCCCACAGTGCCAACTGTCCCAGTTTGAGTCTGAAGGTCAGAGCTACTATTGAACCAGGAAGAGAAAATGTTCCACTAAAAAGCCATTGGACAAAATCTCTTATTTGAAGGTGGGTCGGTCATTTGTTCTATTCGGGCCTTCAAGTGACTAGATGAGGCCAACCCCCATGATAGGGGAACAACCTGCTCTACTCAGTCTCCTGTTTTAAAAAGTTGATATCAGGGACTGAAGAGATAGTATAGGGGGTAAGGCACTTGCCTTGCATGGGGCCAACCCCAATTTGATTCTGGGTACTGCATATGGCTCCCTGATGACAGAGCCAAGAGCAGGTCCTGAGTACTGTTAGGTGCGGCTCTAAAGTCCAAAAACACAAATAAGAGGGGAAAAAATGAATGTAGGGCCAGGGCGATGGCTCGAAGGACTAGTGTACGTGCTCTGCATGAAGGAGTTCTGAGTTCAATCCCTCGCCCCTTAGAGCTGCTAGGAATAACCCCCTCAAAAAGAAAAAAAAAGGTTAATGCAACCCAAACATCCTCACAAACATACCTAGAATAGTGGCTGAGCAAATATCTGGGCATCCAATGCCCAATCAAATTGACATAAATTCAACCATCACGGCTGGTATTTACTTAATAGCCACATGTTGAACAAATTTTTCTGCTCCTATGTTTCTCCTATCTGCTTCCTGCAAAGCCTCCAATCCTTCAACACTCGATTCTGACATCTGGCAGCTTTCCTAGGAGCCCTTGCTAACCTACCGCCCTGCCACCATGCTGTGGAAGGCCCACAGACTCTTCAAATAGCCCTCCTACCCCACATGACTCTGGCTGAAGCTTCATCCTCTCTTAGATGGATTACTGAAAGGATCTCTCTCTCCAAGAT